CCCTGGGGACAGGACAGCACAGCTCTGCCTGTTTCAGTTCCAGTCAACAAAAAATTTAAAGTGTATAAAAACTGAAAAAGAAAATGGTTTCAGATGCACCATCCGGTGCCTCCCAGCAGATGTCAAACCCAAGACTCCAGAGCTGAGAGCACAGAGCAGGCACTTGGTGTGTTCCCAACTGCCACTGGATCCAAGCAAGCTCCGTGTATTTTCTGGAGAGTGAGTGAATGTTATTAGAAAACATTTTCAAGGCATAGACAGGAGATGAGAAGATTCAAAAGCTGGAATGCAGAGTTGATCAATCCCACGTCATCCCTCACTGCCACGTAATTCATGGATGCTCCAGGCAGGGAGCTAAAGCAAATGTTTCTCATCAAATGGAACACAAGCCTTTATTTTTTTCTTTTATTCCCTTGCAATTTTGCCTGGCTCTGTAGGGATTGCTGTGCCTCTGTTCTGGGGAGGCACTTGTCAATGGAGCCTTCTGAGCACAAGCCTCCACACACACCCACTGGCAGTTACCAGCAGACCTGACCAAACTGCAAATTAATCTCATTAACAGAAACATCACTACCTGCCCCCCCAGTCATCCATGCACCCACCCAGGTCAGGAAATCCAGCAAGCCTATGGAGCTGCTGCTGGTGCAAAGGATGCAGGGAGGGCTGCAGCCTCCAGCCAGAGCCTGGAGAGGAGCCTGTGCCCCTGGGAGGGAGAGCCTGGGCTGAGGTGTGACACCAGCTCCCTGCACTGCCCTGGAAACATCCCTCCTGCTCTCTGTGCCTCCCCTGCAAGCCAGTACAGGAGCCACACAGAGTAACCAGGCTGTTACCTGCACTGCCAGGTGGCACTAGCACAGAGGCAGCCCCAGGGAACCACACCAGCCTCAGGGACACCCTGCTCCCCCTGGAAACGGGACTTCATGGGCACCACACTGCCCACCACTGCAGAGCAGGGACAGCTCTGCCCACCCAAGGAAAGATCTCAGCACTTGAGGAGTAAGGAAGATCCTGGTGGCAGGATTTATCCAGGTAAAGCACAGCAAGCTCCCTGAAGAGAAGCTGCTCAGCATTTGCACCATGTTTCCATGGATCACTGCTCTGACCTTCTCCCACATCCTACAATGGCCAAAACTTTCAGAAGCAGTCAAACACCAGACATCCATCACACTACATGGATTATTTAGTAAGTTTCACCAAAAAAGTACACAAGAGAAACGCCTTTATGTTTAATTCTTTAATTTTTGCTACAAGGAAGCTTTACAAATGGCAAGGAATAGTGCTCATAAAGTTACAGGACCACAGTTAAAGCCCACAGTGTTTTCTCCTCAAAGGAGAAAACCTCATGTCCAGCACCTGTGTCTCCTTCAGGTTGTACAGCCACTGCTTATCTCCTTTATCAATAGCTTCTGCTGCACTGACTCCTTCTTACTCCCGATGAAGGACTGGCTGGTGCAAAGAGAAGCTGTTCAATAACTACTGTATTTCTGCTCAGAACTGGTTGCACTTCAGGTGCAAGTTGGGACACTTGGTTTCTGAAGCACTCTGAAATCTTTCAGGGTGGAACTGCTAAGGTTATTGTTACCCTGTTTGTTTCACAGCTAGGAAGTGCTCTGTTTAAATCCAGAAATGGCAAAACCTCCATTTCAGGAGGCAGAAGGAAATGGCCAGAGAAAAGCCTGTTTTATGACTCTGCTTGTCACAACAGATTTTCCTGCAGAGAGAGATAAATGTTTGAAACGTGAACTTCCAAGCAGCCTCAGCATGAATCCCAGCAGAGTTACATTTTCAAAACACATTACATGTCTTCCTTTCTGTGAGAGCCAACAAAATACATTCCCTACCAGTGGGAACTGAAAGTCCATCTGAGAAAAAGCAAACAGCATTAAATTTCCCAAAGGAAAAACGCAGAAATTTTAGCTGAGAGTGAGGCAAAACAAACTAAACACTTTGCACTGAGTGACTTTGGAGACGACAGTTATATGTTTTGCAAAGACAACTGAATTTTAACTGGTTTGGTGGAACAGCACACAGAAACAATCTGTGGCCTCTGAACTCCTTTGGATATTGAGGTTATGGGAATATAATTTAATGGGAAGCAGAGCCTGGATTTAGAGGACAAAAGAAGGGAACGATGGCTCTGAGAATGGCCATGGATGAGTCAGGTTTTCCCAGCAAGCCCACCAGCACACAGCAGGCAGGCAGGCAGAAGTGGCTGTGTGAAAAGTCACAGAGCATAAAAAATGAGGCTGAAAATTCTATCGGAAAAAGTTAATTACAGTCATTAAGGGCACCATCATCTGGTGGGTGGTTACAAGTGGCTTGTGTTCAATTCCTGCCTCCATCAATTGATTACTTAAGACAAATAAAATCTCCATCTCAGTGTCTCCAACTGCCTCCTGAGCCCATTTTCTTACTGTGAGCACAGACAGGGGCCACACGTTGTGAGGGCACAGGTGAGAGGTGTTATCTCAACCTGCTTACAAACACCAAAAGCTCTCATGGCTATTTTAGGCTGGAAAGCTCTGGCCAACCCCAAAAAGCCAAGCCACTATTCATGTTCTAAAAGAGCATTTGTGAGGATTTGGAGATGGAAAAAACAGATCAATGACAAAACAAAAATGCAGATGACACAGAAGATACAAATAACACTTTTAAGCATTATTCAAGTAATTTAAAAGCCAAAGTCCAATTAAAAACATTTTAGAGACTTTAAAAACAAATTAGCCTCAGATTTTTTAATTACATACCACTTGTTCTTCTCAGCTCGAGCTGGCTTGGATCACAAAAATCCATTTCACTTTCCATCTCGTACATTAGCACAAGATTGTAACGTTCAGATTTGGAAAACATTTCTCAGGTTTATTTATATATTTAAACGTTACCCAGGAGAGCAAGCACACTCACTTCTAAATAAAACCTTACACTGTCTTGGCTCAAAAGTCATAGTTTAAGCTAAAATTTCTAATCCAAGGGGCAGGTTCCTGGCTGCATTCAGCAGGTGAGCAGCAGGTACCACCTGCCCCAGATCCAGGGGCTGGCTTGGTCATTCCAGGACATGGTCCTGCTGCTCTGCATACATATCATACATGCCTGCCCCTGCTCTACCCCTTCCATCTCCCCACGCCGACTGAGACACCCGATGTGTTCTGGTTTCAGCACTAACGAAGATCAGGACAGCGGAGTGGGGCTCAGGAACCTCGGCCATTGCAACAACTTTTGAGCTGAGCTTTGCTCAATCCTGCTCCCCTGCTGCCGCACCCGGGGAGGGGAAGGAGCAGGAGGGCAGGTACCTGCTCAAAATACTTGCTCTCGCTGTGACGGATAAACATCACAGCTCCACTTCACTGCCGTGTAAGAACAGGCACCACACACGGCCGTGACACGGTCAGTGCCGCCGGACACGGCACCGGGGGCAGCGGGAGCGGTGCCGCTCTCCCGGCGGGGAGTCCCCGCTGGAACAGAGGTGCCCGTGGTCCCGGGCATGTGCACGGCACAGGCACCTCCTGCCACGGCACTCGGGACCCTGGGCAGGAGCTGCTCCCGCCCGGTGCCATCGCAGGACCTCTGCTGTCCGTCTGTCTGTCCGTCCGTCCTGCCGAGCACCCGGTGAGGGGCACCTCGCGAGGGAGCCCAAGTGCGAGTGTGACCAAGCCCTCGGTCCCCGTCCCTCGAGCACTCGTGGCTCACACTGCCCGGCCCGGCCCCACAGGAGTGCGCGGGCACCGCCGAACTCACCCTGCCCGGGGCAGCGCCAGACACGGCACCTCTGCCAGGGCTCTGCTGGGAGCCGGCTCGGCTCGCCCACGGCGACCTCAGGAACACGTTTCTTTACCGCCGATTCCCCCCTTTCTCCTCTAGAGCTCACAGCTACGGAAAGGTCCTAAAAACCGAGTACTACGGGGAACGCACCCTCCGGGAAAGGGAGCCGGGAGCAGGGGTCGGTGGCAGCTCCTGCCGCAGCTGCAGAGCCACATCCCTTCTCCAGCTGCGCCTGGGAAAAGCCCCCCAGGCGCTCCCGGGGCAGCACCGCCCCGACGGCCCGGGAAGGGTGGCACGGACAGCCCGGGAAGGGTGGCACGGACACCCCATCGCCTCCTGCGGGGACCGGCCGCGTCCGCCCGCCCCGAGCCCGAGGCTGCTCCCTGCAGGGACCCGCCGAGCGCGGGGCTGTGCCCGCCGCGCAGCCCCGGCCGCCCCCGCCCTCACCTCCTTCTTCACGTTCCACAGCAGCTTCTCCTTCGCGGCGTCCGCAGAGCCGCTCATGGTGGCGGCTCCGGCCTCAGCGCGGGCGGCAGCACCGGCCCGGGCCCGCCGCCATCTTCACCGCGGCCTGACGTCACCGGGGGCGGGGCCGCGCCGCACGGCCGCGGGGGGGCGCTGAGCGACGGGCGGGACCGCGTGAGGGGACCCGGGATGGGAGAGATCCGAGGGATGGGAATGATCCGAGGGATGGGAGAGAGCCGAGGGATGGGAGAGAGCCGAGGGATGGGAGAGATCCAAGGGATGGGAGAGAGCCGAGGGATGGGAGAGATCCGAGGGATGGGAGAGATCCGAGGGATGGGTGAGATCCGAGGGATGGGAATGATCCCAGGGATGGGAGAGATCTGAGGGATGGGTGAGATCTGAGGGATGGGAATGATCCCAGGGATGGGAATGATCCCAGGGATGGGAATGATCCCAGGGATGGGAATGATCCCAGGGATGGGAGAGATCTGAGGGATGGGTGAGATCCAAGGGATGGGAATGATCCAAGGGATGGGAATGATCCAAGGGATGGGAGAGATCCAAGAGATGGGAGTGATACATGGGATGGGAGAGAGATCCCAGGATGGGAGTGATCCCAGGGCACGGGAGCTATTCCCCGGGACACAGATCCACCCTGGCCCGTCCCTGTCCTGTAATCCCAGCCTGGAGCTGATCACAGCACCTGGACACACACAGGTGTCCCTGTGATCCCACAGCACTTTTGTGCTTTAGGAATCCCAAGTCACAGGCGGGGATCAAATCACAGAAGACAAAATATAACACTTTATTAAAAATTAGTGTTCCATTTCCATTTAATGCACTGATAAAACACTTTAATCAACACCTAATTAATTACTGCATTAACTAAGTAATTTATCGGTAAGACTGACCCTAAAAAAGTTAGACATAAAAATAAAACAAAGACTGATGCTTTAAGAAAACAACTTGATCACAGAATGTCAGTTTAAACAAGATCAGCAGTCATACTTGCTGTACTCTGGATACAAAATATTATAGAAATTCAAAAGAATCCTTTACTACTATTAAACAAATTAATACAACATCCCTCTGAGGTAGGGGAGGGTCTTATCACCACTTTATTAGATGAGGAGAAATTACACATATACAGAAAACACATCCTGCCGTGTGTGCCCGAGGGAGTGACAGAGCTGGAGTGGGACTGGTGCCCACTCCCCTCCCACAGACACCTCGGCTCTGCCAACAGCACCGGGGGTGGAATTTGGCTGAGAAGGTCGAATGCCAAGGATTGTCAGAAGATACAATCCAATTGTGTAGGGCAGGGCCTGCTGGGCCAGACCCATCCAGTTCAGCTCAGCTATGTTCATCAGTGTTGCCTCGAGGGAATTGGGTCTGAAAATTAAAAACCCCCAGGGGAAAAAAAAATAAAATAAAAGTCAAACCAAGCCCACGGTAAGTACTGCCCATTCCAACACAGCTCTCAGTGACACCACCGGCCCCTGCAACGCCTTCCAGTCCCAGCCAGTTATTCTCCATTTTAACCAAGAACCGCAAAAGATAAAAGTCGCTGGAGTGGAACATCATGGCAGGATGAATGTCTGCTGTTCCAAAAACTAAATGTCAAGGTGAAGGTTAAGCAGTGAGTTTTGTCTCGGCGTTCATCAGCGGCTGGAGCTGCTGGCCTGCAGAGCTCTCCCCTCTAACACTGCTGCCTAATTAACACCCATCCTGAATATCTGTTCCCCAGTCACTGAGACCCCTTCCCTGGAGAAGGACCAAGGCTGTTGGCACTGCAGCCTTTAGCACAGGATTGGGCACAGATGGCAGGGAACAGTTTCCATTCATTGCCTCAGCCTGCCTGAGTGCTCAAAGGTTTGCTGAAATTCAGGAGTGAAGAGGACAGCGAGTCCTGGAAGAATGCCAGCTCATGCAGTCAGAATTCACACCCTACAAATGAGGCAAAAAGGCCTCTCCTTCCTCCCAAAGGCTACCCCAAATTCCCAGGCACCTCATTAACACACCTATTGGTGATGGTCTACATGGGAAGCCACTACAAATCTCAACTTGCAGACAAATGCATAAATTAGAAACCAGTGTTGTCCTTCTTTGTCTCTCTAGAGCCAGCAGAGGACCCTCAGGCAGCACAGCCAGTGTTCCCTCGAGCAACGGGCAGCCCACTGCAAACCCACCAATGCTGCCTTTAAACTGCATCATCCTGCTCAGTGCTGCTGCTTCTCCTTTACACCAGGTCATAAAAACATGTTCTAGAACAACCAGAACGTTCCTCTCAAAATAATTCACAGCCTTCAATCACAAAAAGGCTGATTAAGACGAGAATACAAAGCACGTGTGACATCACAGAATTATCAGAACCTGGTGGTCAGAGACACCACATCCCCAGGCCATGATTTTGGTGTGAGGTACACTCAGTAACACCCTGTGCTGGAGCAGTTCCAGACAAGCAGGACTCTCAAGAGAAACTACAGTGAAATGAAAAGGATATCTGCACATTTTTAAGCACATACATAACTGCTGACACTTCTTACTGAGATTCCACATTCCACAAACACCAAGAAGTTCCTTTGCACTTGGCAGAAGATTCTCACAACCCAGATGGTTCTCAAAACATTTTGTTTTCAAGGTTAATTTAATCTAAATTCAAATCAGAAATTAATACTACTTGTTTGCTATGGGAGACAGGGACAGAAAACCAACTAAACCAAAACACAAGCTTTTCTCTGCTTCTTACAGTGTAATAATTCACAAGTTGGATCCATTTCATTAATGACTCCTGGGAGCACAGAAAGCCTCTGGAGCAGGACATGGATCTGACACTCATTCTTTTTCACACCCTCCTTCCCATACCTGTCCTCCCCAGAGGAAATAAATGCAAATATGACATTGTTATGCTTATAACTTTTTTAACACAGTTTTGCAAGGCTACCAGCATCACTTAAGCTGCTAACATTTACTATGATAGTAGCAAGAAAAAAATAATACAAATCATTTTCCAAGAAACAAGTGCCACACATGGATTTTAAATGGCAGCAGCCTTTGTTACAAGATGAAAAAAGCACAAGGGAATAAACTGAACCTATTAAGTGCAGCACAAAGACTCCATCACTGCAGCCTCTGCTGGTGGCTTCAAATTAAATACCATCAGTGGAGGGAAAAAATTTTAAAAATCCACATCACACTCTAGCAGAATTAGAGAGAAATACCACAAAAATCTTCGTCAATACTAATCTCAGCAGCTGTATTTTCCCTGGCACAACAGAATAACAGCTGGAAAACAAAACTTACAGAGAGCAATATAAAAGAGAAGAGGTTATTAGAGTTTTCAAGAGGCCTTTCACGACAAGGCAGGTGCATCTCTGTGCAGTGCTGCTTCCTGAATGTGAGGAGAAAGAACTGAATCCTGCCATGTGTAGAGGCCTGGCCAGGCAAGAAAATCCTGAAACTTTATAGCCATTAGTGTTTTCTTATTAACCCCCAGCAATTCTGTTTTCAAAAACCTAAATGAGTGCAAAGAATCTTTTTGTTCCCTCCCCTGCTTCCAGTACTCCCAAACCATCTACATCTCAATCTCACTTATGACCTCACTGCATTAATTTGAGACTTTTTTCTTGTAGGCTTTTGCAGCAATTTTCTTTAAATCTTACAGGTGGATTTGGCACTGGTCAAAGCAGTTCAGGACCAACCCTCATGGAATCTGGAGCTTCCATGACCAAGTACAATATGGGAACACAAAAAAGCAGCATATCCAACATATCCATTGCTGCCAGTGGACAGCCAGCAGGAATAACCATTAATGACAGTGGTGAAACTGGAATATGCAACCCAGAGCTCAAACATACAAGCAAACATTTAAAAATACAGTAATGGCTTTTCATACTAAACTTGAAGCTGTTTCCAGAGACCCAATTTGCAGAGCAGACTTGACTCCAACCCCTGAAGTGCCCTGTACAATTAGCACCCAGCCAAACACTCAGGATAAAAGTATTTCAGTTTAAAATCCACTATAAGGCACCTCTCTCTTGTGCCCAAGGCCCCTCGCAGTTTCATGCTAGAACAAGATTTTCATGGCTGTTCTTCACTTTTCACTTCAAGTACTATACTCTAAAAGGGATTTAAAACACAGAACTTGAATTCACATGATGTAGCCTTATAAAACAGCTTAGCCTGTACCTCCCCAGCCACTGCAATTTTTCCCCTGCTGCAGGAGGAAACTAATGGAAAAGCAATTCCATGGATTGTCCTTGTTTATATAAACAGAATTTCACTGTCACAAGCCTCAACAAGGGCAACCCTACCACAATCTGCTCAAGTTTGCTGACTTGAAGCTTCTTCCCTCTCCATACCCAGAGATCTCTCCATCTCCCAGGACAAGTCATTACATACATATTTAAATTTTCAAAGACTTCTCATTTTTCACAAGGGGAGGCTGCTTGATGACTTGGCTCTTGTCACTTTGGGAGAGCTTGCCTTGGACTCGATGACTTTTAAAGGGAGCTGTCCTGGAACACAAACCTCTGCGGGTGTACTGAGGAAAGGGGTGGGAGAAAGCACACGTGCAGTGCACCTGACTGCTGGCAGCTGGCTGGCCAACCATTTCTCCTGGGGGTTATCACATGTAGTGTCTGCCAAGAGTAGCCACGTTCAAGTTCTCTCTTCAGTATCTCGATTTAAAAACTGCACGTTCCATCACGCAAGGCCCTGAAGGGGCAGGTGTCTGGAGAAAGCTTTTCAAACCGCGCCACCTCACTGCTCGCAGGAAGTGGGAAACCGGTGAGCTGTTAGAGAGGAAAGCAACCCCAAACTGAGAACCAGTGTTACAAATCTCACCCCTCCCTGGCAGGCAGAGGGGACAGTCTGTAGGCAAAGCACGTGGTGCAGAACTCACACCTCAGTTCTCCAAGCCTTCAGTGTTGCTCTGTGTGCACAAACGCCCATTCGCTCGTCCAGGGAGCCAAGACGCCAAATGAAGATCAATCCCCAGAGCCCGAGTGATCCCTCCCTGCTGCCTGATCCTGCTCCAAGCACACCGAGCTCAGCCTGACCAAGGCTTGCCCTGGCTCAGCACTAGTGGCCGAGCTGGCGGTCGTCATAGGTGCTGTATCTCTTCACGTGGATGCGGCGCACGCGGTCGCGCAGCTCGAAGCCCTCGTCGTCCTCGCTGTGCGATGCCTGGCTCCGGCTCCGGCTCGTGGCCTCCAGCAGGGAGTTATCAGGAACCCGTGGGGTTTCATACAGTAAGACATTTAGTGTTTCCTCATAAATCCGTGCCTCGGGGAATTCAACCTACAAGAGACAGCACACGTCCTGTTCTGACCCGCCCAGGCCAACGGGACTGGAACACAAACCCGCACGTGAAGAGACACTTGAGCCATAAAGAGACACATGGTACAAAGAGAGGGAAACAGAAATGAACAAAGCAGACTAATTCCTGGTAGAGGATTACTCCCACCACAAGGCCACCTCCCTCACCTCTTCTTTTAGATTGTTCTAGAAGGAAAAACAGTATCTCTGCTTCTTAACGCTGAACCCTGGTCACCTTGCCCGCACTAACAGAAATCAGAAGTTAACTCCTAAATTTAGGGAAACTCTGTGGATTCACCATGCTAGCCTTTCACTTCAGAGCTGGACTTGATGATCCTCGTGGGTCCCTCCCAGCTCAGAACATTCTGTTTCTCCGGGATTCCGTGATTTCTATCCCGTAACAGACAGGTGGGGAAGCTCCGTTACCTTGGTTTGCTTCTTCTCGGTGGCGTAGACGATGGAGGTGCAGCACACCTCGGCCAGCTTGCGGCCCTGCCCGTAGAAGGACCAGCAGCAGATCTCATCCCCGATCACGTCCTTGATGAACAGGACTCTGCCGTTGAACCGCAGAGAGAGCTTGTCAAACAGCTCGATGTTCTTCAGCAGGTTGTCATCCGAGTTACTGAAACACAGCACCAAAAGCAGGAAGAGGATTTTTCAACTGGCCATCTCTGCCCATTTTATACTCTGCTCCACCAGCTGTGAGTGCTGATCTAACTGCAGAATGCAAATAAGTAGTGACTCATTGTCATATGCTGCCAAGAAAAGAGGGGTAACAGCCCATTTCAGATACAAATACACTGCTCTGACCCCTGTGAGCAAACACACCAGCCTTCAGGGTCAAGCTATATAATTAATAACGGCAGCACAATGTCCCAAACAATTACATCAACTATTCACCACTCCTGACTGACACTCGAGGTGATCAAACCCCAGGCTCACTGCAGTTCTCCGGCTTGATCACAGCAAAAGCCCAGAGTCAGTGTGTGCTGGAAGAACACTGCTGTAAGCAAAAAACCCAAACCCCACCCAAACCAAAAGAAGCCAAGTTAGGTCATCCATCATCTTACTCCACTCCTATAGCCAAAGGGAAACTTTCACAATACAGCAGGGAAAACAACCAGACGTACCTGGTGTAGGAGTATTTATTGTTGCTTCTATTATAAAGCAGCTTAACAACAGGCTGTTGGGAGAGAGAGAAAAGCAGAAAATGTAAGTTCTGTGTTTGAGTACAATTAGCATAAATTCATAGTTGCTGGGAGCAGTTACTTTCAGTGATGACTCTATCAGTCTCTCTTCCTCCTTCGGAGAGGTGATAATAGGGATGCTGCAGACTGGCTCATACAGGTCTTTCTTGTCCTGTTTCAAAAAAAGAAGAAAGAGGAAATAAGAGAGAAATGCTAAAGCTAACACTGCTGCTGCTGTCTCCTCCAGCCATGTTCTCAAATGCTGTGATGCACAGGAAAAAAAAACTCTGGGTTGCTATAGTAACCACATAGCTTACCTTGATCTGCAACCCAGAATCACAGCAGAGATTCCTCATCCCCAGAAGGCAGCAGTAATTGAAATACTGAGATGCAGGTGGATGTCCTCAGCTATAGCAAGGACAATCTCTAGTCATATTTGGTTTAAGTGGGTTTATTATTCCATCCTTTCTTGAAGAAAAAGATAGAGGGAGTTTGCACTACTTTTAATCAACTCAAACCACTGCAGTATAGAACATCAGCCACTGTGAGCGTCAGCCCTTGGGACACAAAAGCCACAACCAAGTGTGTGCAGGACAAGCTGTGCCCTCGGATCCCTCTGGCAGCAAACTCAGAAAAGCTCCATAGCTAACATGGAAGCCTCAGAACATTCTGTTTGTAGAAGCCAGGTTTTGAATTCTAAGCCAGAAGGAAAACTGTCAGTGTGGCTTTGCACTTCTTTCAGTGACACCAGTAGTATGCTGAACCCAGTATGTGAGGTATTCAGTAGTTACTGAATTATGTCCTGCAAGAAACATTCATTTCACAATTTTAAGACTAAATTATATATACTGTCTCTGGGCTAAGCTTATTAAAAAGTTGGAGGCTCAAATCCATTCTGCCTATAATTATTATCTAATTAGAAGTGATGTAACTTGGAGGAAATTTAGACAGATGTCATCTGTTGTAGTTTTAGTTAAATGGGCAGGATTTTCAGTGATGACTGTTTCCCACCACCAGGTAACTCAGAGCTGGATTGGGGAAGGCTGTCCCTGGAGTCTTGGGACCTGCTGGAAAGGTGGGGCCCTGGAGTGGAGCATCCCGAGAATTCAGGAGACAGGGACAGGATATCTCTGTCCTGGGGGACAGGAGCTGAAGAGCAGGCACGAGGCAGAGCTGCCCTCTCTGCAGCTGGTGCTCTGCCAGCCAGAGCATCGTGGACTCTGAGTCTGTGCCAGGTGCTCAGCCAGACCCACACCAGCCCTCCAGGGTGTGTTTTAACCTGAGGGGAGGGGGGTGCCTGGGTAATATTTTCTGCTCTTTTATTTCACACCAGAGGAAATATCTTACACATCTCAGACTTGCTGCCATCTCTGAGGCCACGAAATAATCTCTAAAGTTATCTTAACTACATTTTATAGGCAAATCACCCACAAAACACTTCACAGGTTACTTCTGTTCTTACCTGCAAGGCTGCTTGGCACATGTCCACTAAGCCCTGGATGAGATAGTATTTGGCTTCTGCCATCAACTCTTTGATCTCCTGCCTGTGCTTTGGAAGTGCAATTGTGTCATCTCGCAGGTAGTTTAAAATTGTTCCAAAGTGCTTCCCACAACGGTCTATAAGGATCCAGCCTGAAAAATAACCAACACATTTCAGTCACCTCAACACTAGAGGTAAGAAAAAGCTCCTTGCAGAGCTTAAATAAGCCTCAGGTTTCCTGAAACCACAAAGAACACTTCTCCCATTTCCCCCAGTAGAAGTCTCTACTGACTGTGAGCAAACTGAAGCTTGTTCCAGAACAGAACCTGACAGTGGGACCCCTTTGGTACTGTCGGGATGTTCCCACTGCTTTCCAGCATCCCAAAAGCAAAGCCTCGAGATAAAAATACTCGACTTCCAGCACAAGACACAAAGCTTGCTGCAGGAACCGACCTGCAGTGCTGCACTGTGCTGCTGGACAGGCAGAAACTGCGCACCAAGGAAGGACCAGAAGAGAGAGTTCACAAATGTTTGTAACAAGTAGATTCAAGATAAGTTCTGTGGCCTAACAAGGAGGATTTGGCACTTCTCCAAACACATCTTCTGCTGCTGTTTGGAACTAAAGAGAGAGAAGTGTTCTGAAGATGCTAAAAGGCAGACCAGCCCAGAAAACACAGTGTAGGAAAAAAGCTGTTCTGGTCCCCAAAGAGGAGCAAAGAACACGACAGACACATCAGGAGGGAGCACAGAGGGGATGCAGCACAGGAAACAGTAGCAGACAGACAGTTCTTGCAATTTTACATCCCTGAAGTCACATTCCCCAGGAAACAGGATGTCTGACTGCTGCCAAACAACAGCAACGCAGAATGCACGCAGGCAGAGGACTTACTGCAGTGCCAAACCCTTTCCCATAATGTGGAAAGCAGATAAAAAAAGTGTTATTTTGGGATCTAGGTACAGAAAACAACCTAGGAAAGTAAGCTAAACCCCTGCTGGATTCTCACAGCTCCAACTGGAGAATATGACCCTTGTTTTCCATTCAGGCTGAGGCTCCTATACAAAACTGCTTGTTCTGCTCTCTATAATATATCTGGGACTTGTGATGCCAATATCCTGTGTCCAGCTGGAGGTGACACACTGCCTGACTGACCCCCAAACACCGTCACAGCATCATGAGCCACGAGTGAAACATGCTGCTGGCAAGAGGAAAAAAGGAATTTTCAACATAGCAAGCCAGGTTATTCTGAGCCTTAAAGCTGAAAACTGGCATCCCTCCCCATGTGCGCAGTTTGAATGATGCCACTGACAGAAATGGCAACCCACAGACTGTCTGTTCAGTGTTTACAACACCACCAACAATCTGCTCAGACGCTGTGAGGGCAGGAAAGAGGCCCAGTCCTTCCCTGGTTAATTTTGGTAACAAAAGAGCACATTTCTATAAAGCCAGAGGACTGCTGGCATCAATGGGAGCTGGCTGCCTAGTGTTCCAAGTCATCTTTGGAACACATCTTTCCCTGCATCCTAAACGGTGTAGTCAAGATATTTTAAAAACCACCACCAAAACCCAGTTGTTCTACAAAACTGCCAACAGCAGCAGCCCCTCCCTTACCTTCCTTGTCCGTGAGCACCTCCATCCTGCCGCTGAACATGGCCTTGAGCATGGTGTCGTGCCTGGTGAGCACCTGCACCGTGGTGTAGTACAGGGAGCCGCCCACGTTGAGCCGCACGTACTTGTTGCCCAGGCTGCCCCCCTTGAAGCTGCCAGCCTTGGGCTTGGGCCCCGTGCCGGGGCACAGGGCGAGGCACGTGTCCCCAGACATGTCCTTCTGGAGGTAGATGACGACCCTGCAGCGCGTGGGCCGGGCGGGCCCCGCCGTGGTGCTGCGGTCACGCGTGTCCCGGCGGGGACGGGCACGGAGCGCTCATCACCTGCGGGCAGAGCGGGCAGTCAGCACTGTCACAGGGTGGGCACGGAGCACTCATCACCTGCGGGCAGAGCGGGCAGTCAGCACTGCCACAGGGTGGGCACGGAGCACTCATCACCTGCGGGCAGAGCGGGCAGTCAGCACTGCCACAGGGTGGGCACGGAGCACTCATCACCTGCGGGCAGAGCGGGCAGTCAGCACTGCCACAGGGTGGGCACAGAGCACTCATCACCTGCGGGCAGAGCGGGCAGTCAGCACTGCCACAGAGCGGGTATGGAGTGCTCATCACCCGTGGGCAGAGCGGGCAGTCAGCACTGCCACAGGGTGGGCACGGAGCACTCATCACCTGCGGGCAGAGCGGGCGGTCAGCGGGGTGGGCACGTGACCCAGGGGCACAGCCAGAGACTGCCAAGGACACGGCCACACACGCTGTGACAAAACAACATCAAGCCAGTTTCCAGACAATTCCTGCAGTGACATAACCAGCCAAGTCATGGCTGTGCCACATTTCTGAGCCACGTGAAACTCCCCCGACTTCCTGCAACTTCCTCTTCACCAACACTGCAAACACCACACACCACTGGAGGCCAGGCCTAAACCCTGCTGGAATCCAGCTCCCCCCAGCTTCCCAAAAGAACACAGCTCTCTGGGCAGAGCTGAAACGCTGGAAGAGCTTCCTGCCCCTCCTTCAGCTGGGCTGTGTGTGCATCTCCCTGAGCAGGGTTTGCTGATGTTGGTTTGACTCTTAACTGGAGACACAAATGTCTCTTCAAATGCCTCAACACTGAAAGGCTGGATCATTAACATTCCACTTCCCGGTAACTCCTTTCATTCAAAACTCTCCTTCCTCCATCCTGAAACCCTGAACAGTCAATGTAGTTTTAATTAAAAAAAAAAAATTAACACCACTCCCCATCAAGTACATCCACTCTCTGGAGTACCTGCCTCAAATAAACAGCCAGCCACATATCACCTCTTCCTCTCCCCAGTCTCACATCTACCTTCTCATCCACAATAAGCTCAAAATAGAAACAAATAAAAGAATGAAACTCTGCCAGGCCACACCTGAAGTTCTCTAACCAGAAAAGTGCAAATACAAGTTTCTTACCTATCTTTCTTCTAGTACTTATTGTCTCAAAAGGTTTTTGCTGTTGCTTTTCTTTGGTTTTTTTTTCTGTTGTTTTTTCTTTGTTGTTTTTTTTTAAACTCTTTCAGACTACAAATACCTCCCTCTCTCTGTTCTGTGCTTATGGCACGTGAGTGACCTTTATAAACAAATACACCACCTGTTAACTTCCACCTCAGCTTTCAACAGAGGAAAGCCCCACAACCACCCATCAGTACAGTTAATTACCTGGCAGCTACAACGGTGTCTTAAAACTGCCCGAGACTGGAAGAACTGCTGCACTTAGACCTAAAACACAACGTTATTCCGCAGTTCCTAATTAATAACTCCCTTATTACAACTCAGCAAACGCTACAAGTGATGTCTGTTAAGGAGCTGTGGGGCCTTGGCTGCGAACAGCCGCGAGACCTTTAATTACCCGCCTGACACGACGGAAAACTCCCCACGTCCCTCCTTCCTGCCCTGCCCTCCTGCCCCGCGCCGGGAACAGGGAACAGGGAACAGCCCCCGCTCGGCACCGCCGGGAGAGGAACAACCCGAACCGGGCTGGGCACAGCGGGGCCGCTCGCACCGGGGCCGCTCACCCGCCCGGCCGGGCAGGCGAACACGGCAGGGCCCGGCAGCGGGAGCCCGGCCCGGCCCGGCCCAGCCCCCGCACCCGCACCCGCACCCGCGCTCGCCCCGCGCTCGCCCCGCGCTCGCCCCGCGCTCGCCCCGCGCTCGCCCCGCGCTCACCCCGCGGCCGCCCCTCAGCCCCGGCCCGGCCGAGCCTCGTCCCGCCCCGGGAAGCGCCGGCCCGGAAGCGCTTCCGCGGCTCCCGGCGGGCCCCGCGCGGCGGAGGCGGGGCCGGGCCGGGGTGTTGGAGGGTCTGCCCTGAGGACCGTCCTGGGCCGCTCGCAGGGGCCGCGCCCGGCGGTGCGGGGGCTCGGGCCGCTCGGCCCCGATGGCGCAGGCGGCGCTGGGCTCGGCGGGGCTGCACTTCGACGAGCTGAACAAGCTGCGGGTGCTGGAGCCCGAGGTGGCGGCGCAGACGGCGCAGCTCCGCGAGGAGTGTCGGGCCTTCGTGGACAGTGAGTCCCGCACGGCCCCCGGGCCGCCCCCGGGCCCTCCAGGGCTTCCCTCTTCTCTTGCCCCTTTTATCTGACTCCGAGGAAAATCTTAAAACGTGGCTGTTTACTGTAAACTCTATAAACATAAAGCTGCATCTAAAAGCTATACCACGAAGCAGGAGCGTTGCTCCTCTTTAGGGCTGTTCTGCGTATGACTTGCCAGTCTCTTTTTCTTTGCAGAAACAGCAGAATTTCAGAAAATAGTGGGCAGCTTGATCGAGCTCGTTGACCAACTGGCCAAAGCTGCAGAAAGTGAGAAGATGAAGGTACTGTGCAGTCAGTTCCTCGGTTCTCGTGTGCTCTGCCCTGTGTAAAAAACCAGCTCTGTCCCTCCCTCCCTTTACAGCAGAAGCAGCGTTTCCCTGTCAGCGTCCTGCTGGCATTCCCGTGGGACTAACTGGGCCTTTTTAGTTGACATTAATGTCTAGAAGCCTGTGACATTGTCACATTACTCCTGCATGTCACAGTTCTGCTCTTCCTGCTTGTCAATATTTCTGCACTTAAACAGAACCTGTATTTTTAAATCGCTCCTTTTACTGGTAGAACTTAGTCCTCAAGAGGCAGGAGAAGCCTCTGGTAGCCAGAGCTTGTCTGGACCAGTGCCCACTCTGTGTGTCCAGAGGAGTCAGGGACTTTGTTCCCTGTGTCTGAGGGAGGCCCCAAAGGCCTCACCCGCCCAGGATCACAGTGTCACCCTCCCTTATTGCTGGCACGGCTGAAACACCTCAGAATCAACCTGCTGGGAGGGAAAGGGGCTAAAAAAATTAACAAAACCCCCTCAGCACATCCCACCCTCTCCTGCCAGGCCATCGGGGCACGGAACCTGCTGAAGTCGATCGCAAAGCAGAGAGAGGCTCAGGAGCAGCAGCTCCAGGCTTTGATAGCCGAGAAAAAGATGCAGCTGGAAAGGTGAGGTTTGTGCTCAGCACTGTGGGGAGCTGTGCAGGCTGGGAGGGCTCAGGGCTGACCCCTGTGGGACCCTCAGTTGGTTCAGACAGTCCCACCTGCAGCGAAGGTGTGTCCTGCCCAGAGCACGCCTGGAAATGTGCCACAGGCCTGGACTCACCTTCGGGCCCTGCAGTGAACCAAAGCAGGTTCCTCCCTGAGGCCTTGGGGGCTGAACAAAGGGAGGCAGCACGAGGTGGGCAGTGCAGAACCCAGCACATCTGTAACAGCCTTGTGTCTGGCTGCTGAAGGGCCTTGAGAGCTGCACAGTGTGACAGTGCAGCTGCTGCTTCCAGTGACAGGTCACACAGGTAGCCCAGCTGCCCTCCCACAGCCTGGGGGGCTGCACTGACCCCCCTCCCACAGCCTGGGGGGCTGCACTGACCCCCCTCCCACAGCCTGGGGGGCTGCACTGACCCCCCTCCCACAGCTGGGGGGCTGCACTGACCCCCCTCCCACAGCTGGGGGGCTGCACTGACCCCCCTCCCACAGCTGGGGGCCTTTGACCATTTTTCTCTTGCAGGTACCGGATCGAGTACGAGACTCTTTGCAAAATCGAAGCGGACCAGAATGAATTCATTGACCAGTTCATTTTCCAGAAATAGAGGATTTTAAGATAAAAACCAGCTCACTTGGAAACTTGACCATTCCAGAATCTTGAGAATTTCAGAAATATGCAATTTCCACTGTGCAGGAGTGCAGATGGTTTGTGCAATGGAGGGGCTTCACCTTGGTGTGAATGCCCCAGCCGTGGCAATAAGGAGGGCTGGCAGCTCACAGCTGCACACACTGCTCTGGCCTTTGATTTTATACCAGTTTTGTACAGTCAGTAGTTCTAATTCAAATTACAGTTGAATTAATGCTACTGGTGCTCTGTTGTGTCTCTTTTTGAACTTTACAGCTCTTTCAAAGAAATTGGGAAATAAATTATTGTTCTCAGACTTTCTGGCTGTACCAGAAGTACTTGCTCCTGCTCTGTTATTTTTCAGCTTAAAGGTTTACAACTCCCTGGGCACTCTCAGTGGTTTTCCACTTTCTTTGTGTCTGTAAAGACACCACACACAAGCAGCAGTAACTTGGATCTACGTTGCCCACATTACTCTCTATAGAATTATAAAAAACCTACAGAAATTTATGATTGCCAGAACACATCAATTACAGACACACAAAAAAACAGAAACTACGTGAGAATTAAGAACTTTGAACTGTTCCTGAGGAATGTCCATTCAGGAATGTCATAACATGAGAGCCGAATCCTTTCATGGGCATTATTAGGATGGAAACCATTCCAAGAGTCAGTGACACCAGGAGTACATAACTATAAACTACAAACACAAATGTGAACTCAAGCCTCCTGCTGTAAGTGCAAACAGATGTGTTTTGTGTCTGTCTTTAGGGAACCCAGTATGGAAATGTGGCTTGTTCCAAAGCCTGGGGAAGGCTTACCTTTTACAGAGTGAAGTCCTGAAATACAAGGGCAACACCTGAGCAGCTTCACAGGGCCCTGTCACCTCTCACCAGGCTCCAAGTGTTCTTGCAGATCAATGGAAAACTTAAAAAACCCCCAACCACCCCAGAATTTCTATCAGTTGTTGTATTTTATGCATAGATTTACTCTGTGAATTCTCTACCATCTCATGGTCACTGTAAGTTCCTCTCAGCCTTTCCATGAAGAAGATTAAATGCAGATTATTGCAGGTAGTTATTTATTTCCATACTATAAATGATTTCAGGGAAGCGAGAAATTTGCAATTCCTTGTTTACAATTCCTGAAGTACTTCAAAATCCTCTAGGCAATATTCCTCATTTTCAAAGGTAACTTTAAGTATCATAAATCCAGAGTTTGGCACATTTACCACTGATCAGACATTAATTAATCAAAATGAAGCAGAGCAAAGGCAGGGAAATTTCAAAGGAAGGGGTGAGGAAGTTAAGAATCAGGACATGATTGGAAACGTTTCAGAAGCACAGCTTTGCAAATCTGGGTGTAATCACTTGGGGAGTCTGCAGAATATGCTGTTGGAAGACAGATTTCCTACTTAAGTGGTTTCCAAACAGTCATCTTGGAAAAAGGGAACTTGGAAGAACAATACCAGCTGCAGAGTGTGAGTGTGTGCCCTCACAGTTACACATCAAGGGTTACAAGTCCATTTTCCTGTTGGAGAGGCCCCGCACAGACCCGACCCCAGAGGCCCCGGGGGTTGCTGGCCCAGCCTCTGGCAGAGCTGTTTGTGGTGGAAGCAGAGCTGTGCACTCAAACCAATTCCATTTTTCCTTGCAGTGCCCTGGCAGGAGCTGTTGCAGCCAACACGAGAGGGATGTTTGTCCCAGAGGACTCCGTGAGCACAGGGTTGGAACCAAATCCAGGACAGGAGTGGTGGGTACGATTTCCAGAGGGGGCTACTTCCTTTTTCTCTTCTCCACGTGTTTGTAGTGGGGGTTGCAGAGCATGGTGAACAGGATCAGGAGGGGGATCAGCAGGTAGGGCAGGTATATAGAGAGCAGAACGAGGCGCTCACGCAGCGTCTGAGGGCCCACGTGCTCGGACTTGGAGAAGTCGTGGAACAGGATATGGGCCAGGATAGCAAACAGAGTGGTGGCTACGTGGGTGGAGTAGATAATGGCAGGAGTCCTGATCCATCTGCAACCACCTGCACAGAAACAGAAAGGAAAATGTATTGAAGTATTTTTGAAACAAGCAGAATTCCGCGGCTTTTAACTTAACAGAACATTGACTGCTGCCTCTCTGCCAGGGCCAGCCATCAGTCAGACTGAATAGGTAGCACAAAAAAACCTAAGTACTAGTAGAACCCAGAAATTTCTCTCCCTTGATGGAAATTCAGAACAAAGGGGTGATCCTGAAAATTTTAAAGTAACAAAATGAGTACACAGGCTTGACCCAGACCTTTATCTACCCTGGAAGTGTGCCAGATGTCAAATGCTGATGCTGATTACACAAATGGCTGCACCTGACAAAGGCCTGTAGTCACAAAGTTTTGTGTCTAACAGACTTTATTCTGTGCTGCTTTCCCAGGTAAAATCTGCCATGAGAGTAGCCCAGTGCTCGTGGCACACTCGTTAAGGGCTGTGACAGCCCAGCCCTCCACAGGGTACGTCCCTCAAACTGCTCGAGACTGATGCAGAAACCTTCTCTGCTGTTCCAAAAGCAGGAGTTGTGCAGAAGAGCTCCCAGGACGTGCCCCTGCTCTGTTTCATACCCACCCTTCAGGAAGGCGTAGGCGGCGACGGGGAAGAACGGCAGCTGGAGAAAGGCTTCACAGTAGATGAAGGCCTTGAACCACTCCGGGGGCTGCAGCATCATGGGGTCCCTGAAGGAAGTTGCATACTGCTGCAACAGGTCTGTCAGCTTAGGGAAACCAAACCAACACATTCTGTCACTCAACAGCAACCTCAGCACGGCAAAGATGTGATTCTCAACTGGATGAAGCCACCAGTGCAATGGGAAAACAGAGTGATCCAACCTTGGCACTTGAGGATTTGTACTGCAGTTTAAACAGGGACTATGTTTATGGCAATGAACCCTTTGCATTAAGTCTGTATTAAATTTGCACTACAGGCAATTTTAGGATTACTTCTGCACTAAGTAGAGTTTCCAAAAACTACTCCTGAAATACGATTTCCTATCAGAAAAAACCCAAACCACAAAAATCTGCCCCTTGACACTCATAGCTATGATTTCCCTCTCTCTGCTGAGCTCTGCTGGTGCCAGCCCAGGGGGGCTCTCTGTCTGAGTGAGGGGTGAGCCCCCAGCCCCCCCTCAGGTCCTGCCCAGCCCAGTGGGTTCTGGGGGCTCCTCCTCCAGGGCTGGAGCCCGGCTGCTGCCGTGGAACAGCTCCATCCAAGGATTTGGCTCAGGGAGTTGCAATGAGTTTCCACGACAGAAATGTAAACTCCAGCATGGCTCTACACTGGACTTTGAACAGGGGGATATGCATTGGGATCTGCTGGTTAAATATTAATTGAAAGTGGTGCCTCTACACTGGAGTAATTCTCCAGCAATTCTGATGGCAAAAACCACGTCAACCAATTGTGAGGCTCAAACAGCAGGTGACAGCCGACCTCACCCTGACGATGAGGGCTGAGCTAATTATCAGCCATCCAGCTGTGGTTTGAATTAACTTCATGATGCTCATTGTCTTTTACGATTTTGTTCAAAATCCAGCAAACCAGAGATTTTAACTAATAAATTCGGTCGCTGGGATACCCGCTGCTGCAGCGGCAACAACTCCCTGGTAGGTTTTTGGCAGGAACTGGAGGAAAGCTCAGGATCAGAGAGCGCCCGGCACCAGCCCCGCCCGGGGCACGTGGCAGCAGCCCCGGGGACAGGGGGGCACTGCGGGACGGGACGGGGGGCTGGCAGCTGTAAGACACCCACCGCCCGCCCGGGGAGAGGGACGTTCCCAGCGCCGGTTCCCCGGGGAGATCAGTGACCCCCGGCCTTGCGGACACGTCCCGGGCCCGGCTCCGGGCAGCGGCCCCGCTCGCAGCGCCCAAGGCGCCGATGGAGCGCCCCGTCCCCGCCGCCGCTCCCGTTCCCGCCCGTGTTCCCGTTCCCGCTCCTCCCCGATGGATGACCCGGCTGTGATTCATCCCGTGGGCAGCAGCCCCGCCGCGTTCCAGCCGCTCCCTCACGCACATTTACTGCAGTTCCTCTCCCCCCTCGCGTCTCCACAGACGCGGTTCGCCAACAGCCGCCCCCGGCCCCACCAAACCCGCGGATGCTCCGCGCGCGTTCGCGGAACGAGCCCCGGCGCGGCCCCCCGGCCCCACTCACGGCCCGCGGGGGGATCCCGGCGGGCAGCAGCGGCTGGAGGTCGATCAGGGCCGTGATCGGGATGTGCGAGAGGAAGTAAAGGGCGAAGAGCCGCTCCCGCCACCGCGGAGCCGCCGCCATCGCCGGGACACGCCCACGGACACGCCCCCTGGAGACAGGGGCACGCCCACGGCTGGGGACACGCCCCTTGATGCAGGGACACGCCCGTCTTTACCGGGCCACGCCCCCGGGCCACGCCCGCGCCTCCCGGCGTCCCCTCCCCGTTTCCCCGTTTCCCATTTTCCCGGTTTCCCCGTTTCCCGGTGCGGGATCGCAGCGCTGCCGGTACCGACACCCCCCACCCCTCACCGTGCCCCCGCCGCCCTCCCGGGGTCTGTTCCTCGTGCTCCCGCACCTCGGGCCAAGCCAGAGAGAAACCCACTTCTTCCCGCATCCAACGCATCCTTCCCCGCACGCTCTCGCCCTACAGAGCTCACACGCTCCCCCCGTCCCGTCACAGCCCAGCCGGGTCCCGCAGCACACGCGGATCGGGGATCAATCACCTGCCTGGACTGCCGGTGCCCATGGATCACACGGCTCTGGAGGATATGGAGCAGGGATGTGGAGCACATGGAACAGAACCTCCCGTCAGGTTATACCCGACAGAAGAATATTAAAGGTTACGGAGACCAAACGGTCCCAGGGTCTCGCGATTCCGTTACTGAAAAAAATCCAGGGTAAAACAATTAGAAAACTTGCCCCCCAGGAAATCCCCAAACGACCACTTGGGGCTCCCTCCCACCGGGAAACAGCAGATCCCACATCCGCTGCTGCTGAACGGGCTGGAGGAGAAAAGCAGCTTCCACAGATTGCTTCGGATCAGTCACCGACACTTCACCAGGAGATGGATTTTAGCCACTTACTGTTCCAGCACTGGCCTCGACAGCTCCTTTGCTCGGTGTCACAGTGCACACACAGGGTTGGGCCTTCTCACCCTCCAATGTTCCTCTGACAGTTCGTGAGCAGCTCCGAGTTCTCCTTTGCCCTCAGCACGCCTGGTCCCTTCCCAAGGCACAGGCCATACAAGGAGACACAGCACTGTAGTGACAGAGCTTAAAACGTCTGATGACAACTGTAATTCGTTTGACATTGAGATCAGCAAAGCTTAAAACTGATTAAAATGCAACTCTGATAAACCTCAGGCCAGGTTTTACCCCGGCTGGGAAGGAAAGCAGCTCTCGGGATGCCTCCCACGGCCATCGTGTTGCCCTGTGTGCTCACTGGCAATGGAACTGTGTCCATCCAAGGGCTCAGGGGAGCACTCCCTCCACTGTCACTGACTCACAGCAAACACAGCAAATGCAGGTCAGGCTACAGAAAACACTCCCAGCATTGTGGTTTGCATATATTTGTACATACAGTTTAAGTTACACCTTGTGCCAGTGTTATTCCACATCCTGCCCAGACACCTTGCAAGGTAAAGGTCCCCAAGACCTTTTATTCTTTTTATGTTTATGGGCAAGATTCACCCAGAGACCTCAAGCAATTGGCTCCAAAAAATCCCCTCTGCCCAAAGTGTCTGTGCCACGTGTGGCAGGTGCTCACACCCTGCCAGCCCCAGCCTGTCCCCTGCCCTGACACACCCCGGCCCAGGGACTGCAGTTGTGTTCTGCAGCTCCACTGCACTGCACCCTTTGCATCAGGACTGCAGAGAACAGGGAAAGGGGGTTGTGCTCAAAAAGTAACTGGTGCTTTGCAAATTAAACAAACCCGGAGCTGCCTGGAGGTCTGACCCCTTCCCAGGACCGTTCAAGTCAATCACTAATTTGATTTATCAGCAAGTTCAGCCCTTACCCAGGATCAGGCTGAGAGAGCAGGTGAGTCTTGTGTCTAGTAAGTCATATATGTGTACACATACACGTGTGTGTGTGCACGTGGGTGTAAAAGCCAGCACCATGTCCAAACCATGATGTTACAAAGTCTTTTTACTCGTATTGTTAATCAAGATTGTAACAATCTACTCTCAAATGCAGGGGGGGGATCAGGCAGAAATAACAACAGCCACCGCTGTGGTTTCAAATGTCACATTTAATGTTTTCACCACTGTACTCCAAATCTACATTTTACAAAGTGACCAGCAAGTGTGCCACATTAACTGACCAACCTCTGAGATTTTACCTTTCATACCAGTGTCTTCTGGGGCTCGTTAATTAAACACGTTTCTCATTCAAGTGAATTGAAATGCTTCTGTTGGTTTTATTCTCAGGAGCCTCATAAAAAACAAAGATATTGCACCATCTTTGTTCAGTTATTCAATGTTTGTCTCTTTCACAGCAAATAATTACTTCATTGAAGTTAAAACTTCCAAACATAACTTACTAATAGTCTCCAATTCCAGCTCAGATCACTCTTGTTGAAAATACTCTGCTAAATACAGATAACTTACAATAACTTTAACAGTTAATTGTCCATAACAAACACCACGGTTTCTCTCCAGACCAAGGCTCAAATTTTAAGACCACCCTTTAGTATTCCTTTGTACAGGTGAAAAACAGTCTTCAATTTTCTAGTCTTGTTTTAAATACAAAAGTTGGAAGGGACATTCAAGTTTCAAGTCTCCACACTGAACTTAAAAAAAAAAAAATCATGTGGAGGTAAACAAACCAAGTTGTATACTCCAGGAGGTAGAGGCCTTCAATTTGTGTTCATATATACATATGCACAGAATTCAGTGTTCCAACAGAAAAAGAATTAGCCAAAAAGTAATAAAAGTTATTTACTACTGTGACATTTCAAGACTTCCACAGCTTTGCCTAAAGACACAAACACAATTAACAGAATTCCCTATGTGCTTTTTTTTGTCCTTTTCTTTTTTTTTTCTCTCAACTGTCCAGTGCAGGAAAAAGTTCTCACAAAATTTCACAGACCTAAAATGTGCAAGCTAGTTTCTCTCTATACAGCAATGATGTCAGGGATCTCTGAAATTAGCTCATAAATGGAATTATTTACACACATAGAAGATGCATGCTGGGGGGTTTTATGTAAGAAAGAGCAGAAAAACTTCTAATAAAAATAGATTAAATATATATATATATTTATACTGGGTAAGGAAACAGAAGTTTCATCTCTCCTAGTCACAAACTCATTCTCTCTACTCACAACATTTGATTTTAGAACAGCACACATCACCATCACAGCTCTAGTGAGAAGCTATTTATAGGGTTTGGGCATCAGGGGACGTGGCCACTTCCCGTGGTCACAACCCCCCAAAGGGACTTCATGATTGGTCGCAGTCAAGTTTTCTGTATTCCTTAGTTTTAGAAAACCCAAAATCTCCAGGAATGGCTCAATATCAAAATGTATGTCTATCTGTTTGTACAATCTCACTTCAATTAAAAAAAAAAAGAAAAAGGAAAAAGAAAAAAAGAAAAAACCTCCCCGAATTTGGTTCAATTCTGTTTGTTCTGAGCTGAGCCATCACAGCTGCACTAGAATTCATAAAACACGTGCAACTCTGGGTAAAATATTTTCTTCTAAAAGCACAACCACTTTACAAGATTAAAAGTCTAGTACATTTCTAAATATTATTCATATTGTACAAGTAGTGGTTGTTATTTTAAAACTTCATTAGTAAAATTACAGTACAAGCATGATTAACCTCCAGAATTGCAAATCCCAGGCTCCAGTGGAAAGCTACATTACATCTTCAGTAGTACGTGAGCCCCACGTCACTCCCACACCAGCGGAGACGGCGGCATCTCGGAGGGCTGGGCGACCGTGGAGCTGCAGGGCAGGACACAGACACTTCATTGGCAGGAGCTCCCAGCCAGAGCCTCAGGGCTGGGCTGGAGGCCAACCAGGAGAACAGCCCCCCCCAGAGCAACAGTGACCAACACCGACAGCAAACCCTGCACCCCCCTCTATCTGCCTTTTAGCATTCCTTCTAACGCTAATTCTGCAGTCAGGACCCAACTCGCTGACCTTCCTATTCTCATTTTCAGTCTGACTTCTCTTCTTTTACACAATAATAGTATTTGAAACTTTTGCACATTTTATTTAAATTCTAGAAGAGTTCATATAAATAGTGTACCCGGGTTTTATCTACGGGTCTTTCCCACTCTCAGGGAAAACTGAAAATGTAAAACATTCTCAATGTGCAAATTCTGTACTACTAATAAATGGGAATTAATATCAGATGTGATTACATACAGTTACCTAATAAAGCTCTTAAAAGCAGCAGACTGAGGGTTGATGCAGAGAGGCACTCTGTTTCCTTTCTGCTGTTCCAAAATGAACTGATGAATTATTTCTGTACACAGGAGAAAAATACAAAACACCACAGCATTAACATTTCTGGCTTCAGTAAAATGCAATGAAGATGGGGGGGAATAAAGGTTTCCTTACTGAGAGTGCATTTTAGTGAGGATAAAAGGGCTCCAGCTTCCCTAAATCTCAGCTTCAGCTCCTGGAAGCTGCTGCCTCTTTCTGCAGCACAGCTGTGGAGGTCACAGCTCGTACCCCAAAAAGGCCACACCACCGATTCCCCTTCCCCCAGTGCCACCACTCAGTAAAAGGACGAGGAACAGGGCACTGGGGACAGTGCTGGTAAGGTCTGAAACCCACAGACCTCTGCATGTCAGCCTGTGCTTGTGCCACTGTTATGTCAGAACATTGACAATTCTGTTCTTTTAGTGAAAAGAAATTGTTTCCAGTGTCTACTATGGAAAAACACTTGAAAGAAACCAGCCCTGGGGTTAGTGCACACTGGGGTGAGTTGTGGGAGGGGGGCTTGGACTCGGAAATTGGATTTCTGGGGATCTCAAACCACCACACAGATCCAGAGCACACATCCCAGCTCCATCCCAGTTCCACCCTGCTGAGGGGGGGAGCAGCAGGACAACGGCACATCCAACCCTAACCCCTACTCACCTTTAACCTGCCGAACAGAACTGAGGTTCTTTTCAAAAGTGTCATCAAATTTGGGATTAGTGATGGGTTCAAAATCACTCGTATAAACTCTTCCAGTGGATGTGGAAAAACAACATTTACACATACAGGTGTGGTACCGCAACCGCCCCTCGTCGAGATAGGGGTGAGCTAAGGCATCCTTAGCAGATATCCTTTTGGACTGCAGAGGAACACGGGACAGCAAAGGGAAAGGAACAGTGAGGACACTTCCAGGGGTAGTGAAACTACTCATCCATTAATTGCCAGTGGTTTCTTAACCCCTAATCCTGTGAAGGACCCAGTTCATGTCTGGGAGCTGCAGGAGCTGCCACTAGAGGGGAGCTGTGGCTCAGGAACCAGCCCGGCTGGGATGGCACCGACCCTCCTGTGCCACAGCCACCATGGAACGGCTGCTAACGGGAGGGGTGGAAACACCTTTTCCAAGAGCTACTTTCTCCAGATAACCTCACGATTATGACCCCTACACTAAATCAAAACAAGCCGGGAATAACAGCATTCTAAGTGTTGAGGGAGTCAGAAAGGAAAACTTTAAGGGTTTTTATACGGAAGTTATAATTTAATATTTCCATGGTTCTGTTCAGCAAAGCAATCTTAAGGTTTAAAAAAAATAAACCCCAAAGCCAGTGCCTTCTGAGTGCTCCATCAGCCCCTGGCCTCCTCCTTTGCACTGCAGTCACTGCCTGGTTTTTATTTGCAATACTGGGGGGAGGTCTGTGAGAATGAAATAATTAAAATTATCAATTCTGGTATCAGATTTTCTAATGACAATTCTCTATAGTGTCCCTAGAGATGAAATCCAAAATTCACAGAACCACATTTTTATTATAAAAACAGTGGAAAAATGATCCTGTTCTGTGACTGGGGATGCAGGAGGAATTTTCTGTGTGTTGCAAGACCGGGAACACCCCCGTGTCCCTAATTAGAACTGCATCAAAGTAGCTGATGTTCTGCTACCTACACCCAGCTCGGAAAAGAGCATGAGTCACACCCCCTCCCCCGTCAGCAGCTTCCTTCACAAGACCACTCGGCTTTAAACGTGGAACCCCCATTCCAGGGGGAATTCATTGGCCCATTATGACATTTTTACGTCTTTTACAGACCAAAAGTACTGCAATGCCATGTAGAAGGAAACCAGCTAAAGCAGTCCTTGACTTAAGACACTCATTTAGGTACCAGACAACAAAAACTGTTCAAACCAAAAGTACTTGAGATAATTTTCAGTCATACTTACTGGATCAAAGACCAACATCCTGCAAAGGAGATGAACTGCTTCATGTGTAGCTTGACTGGAGAGTGTATATAGGACAGGAAGGGATGGCTGTAGGGGGAATGGGAGGAAGAGAAGCACAGTGTGTCCTGTCAGATCCATCAGCAGGAAAACCCTGTTCCAGCACACACTATTCCGTAGTCATCAAGAACAAACTCCTTGTTAAAGAGGACACAGGGTACCCAACCCTTCCCAGCCCGACAATAACCACCATTACAGAACTCAGCAACTGCAATAAAGATCTAATGGATCAGTTTTTCCCTTAGTTCAGATGTAATCCCTGGACAAACTTGTATTTTATTTATTTTTCTACACAGACACCACTCATCACTCCCAGCTGTAGCTGCTCAGGGGTTTGATTAACCCTTCATTTCCAGTTCATTCCTCTGATCTCAATCACTCCCAAATTATAAATTACTTTGCTTTTCCTTGCCCAGGCAATCCACAGCTGACTGACAGTGACAGAAGGACTGTACTGGATGTCACAGTTGCTGTAAATTTCCCAGTATAAATAAGAATTACACCTCCACAGTGACATCAGCCCAAGTTAACCCTGAACTACCACACGCAGCCCTGAGCACTTCTCAGACTTGGTTTCTCAGGGCAGCCTATGGAATATGAAGCTGTAATATTCGGTAACTTCATCTCATTTTTCTAATTCCTAAGTACCATCTACACACAAAAGCACTGTGGGCCAAGCACTGTGATTACACAGGTTTCATCCATATGCCGGAGCAGAAAAACAGTATTACATTCCTTACTTATGGAAGCTGTTGCATCCAACAGAAATGAAGGACTCCCTTTTTTTTGGCTACATTTATGGCCCTTGACAGCAGCTTGTCCTGCCACCTCAGAAGCACCTGGTTAGAGAGAGCTCTTGGGGACAGCACTCCCTCAGCCAGAGCTGGGAGCAGTCCTGCGGGAGCACTGCCCGGGCATTGGGAACTGGGAAAATGGAATTGCACTGGGATTTGATTGCCATGGAATCAGTGGTCAGCCTGTCAGCAAGGAAGGAGCATCCTTCTCCTGGCCTCTCCCACAGCAGAGGGCAGGAGCACGACAGAGGGGCAGAGATTCCAAAGGCTTTCCTTGGGAAGGGGGCGAGCGGAGCCGGTGGGGACAGCCCGTCACCCTGGGGCTGTGGGGCTGCTGCACCAACTCACTGGAGCTGAGCCTGAAGGGAAACTTCCAAACACCAGGTGACAAAGAGGCCTCTGGAGCATGGCAGTGCCCACTCTGCCAGCACACAGTGCTGGGGGGTTAATCAGAACCTTCCTGCATTAATCTATTTTCACACAGAGCAGCAAAATGCTTCACCCTCCCCTCCCACTGCACTCACCTACGGCAAGTAAAAATAGTTGGTGTGACAAAGTAATCGCCTGTATCTAACTTGGTTTCTCTCCCTATTAGTCCAATTAAGAAACTGGTAACTTTAACTGTTTATAACCACAGAAAGGTCCATTTCAGAATACAAAAAGCCAGGAATTTGCATTCCAACATGAAGTTTGCTTCAAGCTGAAACCAGAGAAATACCATTAATCACCTGGATGCTCTGTATCCCCTAGTTCCAAGTTGCAATGAGCACACCAGCTCCAGAGACTGTTCAGCTCCTGTGGCAATCCATGGAAAATGAACCTTGTTTTCCCCAACTGACACAGAACTAACTCTTAGAGTGAATTTCCTACAACTTCGTGCCTAAAGGACATTATGTCTGTACTGGAAGCTTTTTATACCATTTCACCTCACTTGCTTTTTAGTATTCCCATCATTCTGTGGATCATGAGACACTGGGTTTCAGAGGTACAACTCTTCTAGCATATGGTAGCAGAAAAACATACTTGATTTGTTTTAAAATTGGTAGAGAAAGTCTGTAGGAAATCCTCCTATCATTAATGCTCAAAGAAAAAAATCCTGTCATGAAATGGAATAGAGACAACTTGATGTAATGAATGCAAACTGCCAAGGAGGCAGAACTCCCACATGTCAATAATAAAGGAGAATATATATGCAATGCTCATTTCTATGGTAACTACTATTGTGGTGAACAGACATGTGAGAAATTACTTCAACATGCAGAAAATAAAGATGCAAACTTAACTACTGGAAAGATCTGATGTACAGGTCAATGATTTTGTAATTTTTACTAACAATCATAAAAATGACCATATTGGATGGCTACACAGCTCTATTCCTGCACCAGGGATGCCTGCACAAGCATTTCTTTGTTATAGTAACAGCATTTGCACTTTTTATTGCCCAGTCAGAACAATGACACCATCCTGCCTTTTTTTCCCCGGTTTGCTTATTGTCTTTTTTTAAATTAACTTTTACTTCAGTTGTGTTGTATGCTCTATCTCAGCTTTCAGTCTCTTGCTGACCCTTCCTGAGCAGCTCAGGTCAGCACACAGGTGGGCAGGGACCCTCTGGGGTTGGGGTTCTGCCCTCAGCTCTGGGACACGGACAAGTTCCAGCTCTAACACTCCTGATCCTGGCAGTGCAGGACCCCTCAGGGCTTTCTGGTTATACTGTCAATTTTCATTTATTTTCATTTACATCTCTTGACAATACTATCACTTAAATTTAACATCTTCATTCAAAATAGCTATCAAAACACTGTCACTTCAGAAAGGGAGACTTTCACCTGTGTCATCGAGTCAAACAATACACTGAAGGCAGAACCCAGAAATGCACTTCACTAGTGCAAACCCACCCTGTCTTCACAGCAGTTGGACTAATTACACCACTAACCCCCGTCACTGCAGCACCACAACCACTGCTGGTAGTTTAACCCTGGTTAACAGGCAGAGACAGCTCTGGGACTGGATGTCCAAACAAAGCATTTACAACAAACGGGCCCTGAGAATTTAACCAAGCTCTGAAACGCTGCGATGCTGCAGCAGGAGCCCTGCCCACAGGGAATGTGACTCGTGGGGCTGATGAAGGGTCCCCTGGCCCAGTGCCCAGCCCCTCCAGGTACCTGTTTATGAGGACCCCTGAGTATGTGTGCCTTGGCGCCTTCGCACGCCGTCCTCATGGCCTCCAGCGACGGCGTGCCCAGCAGGTCTGTGATCAGGTCCAGCTGCAGGGCAGAGCACACGGGTGTCAGTGCATGGCCCTACCACTGCACACTGCTCAGGTAACACAGGACACACGTGTCAGTGCATGGCCCTGCCATGGCACACTGCTCAGGTAACACAGGACACACATGTCAGTGCATGGCCCTACCACTGCACACTGCCCAGGTAACACAGGACACACATGTCAGTGCATGGCCCTGCCATGGCACAGCTTGAGGCCGTTCCCTCTCCTCCTGTCCCTTGTTCCCTGGGAGCAGAGCCCGACCCCCCCTCCTGTCAGGGAGTTGCAGAGCCAGAAGGTTCCCCCTGAGCCTCCTTTTCTCCAGGCTGAGCCCCCCCAGTTCCCTCTCACCAGACTTGTGCTCCAGCCCCTTCCCCAGCCCCACTGCCCTTCTCTGCATTCGCTCCAGCCCCTCAGTGCCTTCCTTGAAGCGCATCAGCCCAGCTGACTCCAGGAAATGACAGTGGAAAAACGCTGAAAGGGGAACACAAGGATACCTGCTGGATGGGACTCTGTGCCTGGAACAATATCCTTCGGCCAAGCAACTCTGCAAAGATGCAGCCAACAGACCAGATGTCGATGGCATTGCTGTAGTGGCGGCTGCCCATCAGGATCTCCGGAGCGCGGTAATACTGAGTGACAACTTCCTGAGTCATGTGCCGGGATTCGTCTAATTCTTCCACCCTGGCCAATCCAAAATCACAAATCTAAATTGAGAAGGTAAATAAAAAAATTAAAATAACCAAAACACTTTCTGCAGTTCAAATAGGCAACCTTCTGGGGACGAGGCAGGGAATCCCAAACAGCACTCAAACCCAGCAGATAACCTGCTGTCACTGCACGAGCCAGGGGAAAGGGGGACAGCAGGACATGATCTCACTTTATTCCACAGCCATTTAACCTGCCTACAGTTTGATGTGAAATCACAGTTCATTTTAGGTTGGCATACAGTATTTATAAATACTATTTATAATAGTGTTTTTGCACTACAAAAATCCAACCTCTGGGTACAGAGCATTTCAACCCAAACAAACTTCATTTGTTCATGATATGCCTCTAAATGTTAAAGATTCAGCCTTCTACTCGCTCTGGCTTGGAGAATTGTAAAAAATTCCTTGAACCAGAGTGGTTAAGAAAAGAGACCAAAATTCCCCAATTAGAATGCTGAGCAAATCCCTGTAAACAACACTGAATGTTTACGTTTGGCACAGCTGTACAACACACCGGAGTCCTCCAAAATTCCTTATGCCTGAGAAGTTAATGGAAGTGTCTCGGGCTTTCAGTGTCATCTTCCTCTGAGGAGAACACGGACACAAACACCCCCAGAGCCCCTGCCCCTCCCAGCCACCAGCACAGGAGATCCCACCCAAGCCTCTCCTGCTTTCAGAGATTTACGGAGAAAGGCAGAAAGGAAGATGATTGCTTATAATTTTTTAAGAATCTGTGGGATTTTTTCCTTTTAAATTGACTTTCAGGGTAAGTGTTCACATGGAATGTTTTTGTTTAAAAAATTAACAACTGCTCCATAACAACCAGCACATACACAGGGACATCTTCAATAAACGTAAGTAGCACCTTAAGGACACAGTTGCTGTTCACAAGTAGGTTCCCTGGTTTAATGTCTCGATGTAAAATGCCAGCAGAATGTAGATATTTCAGACCTGAAATATTAAAGCAAATTAACATAAATAATTATTTTCCTTTTAAAAGAAGTTTAAGGCTGCCAACAGTTTCCTGGCAACTCCTCATCAGCAAAGACTTTGCCTGTGGCTCAGTTTTTATATGACTCTAACTTCTAGTCTCTAGTGCACACTCAGTCACTCAATGAGAGGGTAAAATTTTGGAGTATATAAACTAGATAGAGCAAGGAATTTATGTATCCTTTTTTTAAAAAAAAAACCTCAAACCCAAACCACCTCCTCCCCCCCCAAAAAAAACCCACAAAAACCAAATCAAAAGCAAAACATCATCTCCCTGGTGGTGGCATGAATACTCTGCTAATCCTCACACTGGAATTTTGGCACACACCTCTTACTGCTCTGGTTTTCAGAAACAATTTTGACCTTAGGTGGGTACAGTCACACATATTTACTGATTTGGCTCAGTCCAAGTGTCCTTTCTGTGCCTTGATTCTAAAAGCCTTGATTCTTTCCCCCTGACTATGCTGGAAAGCAGCAGGGCTGCCATGCTCTTGTAGCTACAGTAATGCATGCTTGCTATTTATTCAAATATGAAATTAAAAGAAGTTTCCACGGGAAACTCACTCAAGACGAGGATGCCTTGAGAATAAACATTAAGAAACAGAAAAGATACTACTACTATGGACTTTTCTTTACATTTACAAGAAGAAAAGTTACCTCTTAAAATCTGGTAAAGAAAAACTTTGACATGATCCGAGCTGAGTGGCTGAGGAGAGACGATAATCTTATGGAGGTCGCTCTGCATCAACTCAGTGACAACATATCTTCAGCCATTGGTCAAGGAAAGCAGAACGTCTGGCACAGAAGCTCCTCAAACATTTACTAACTCCTACTTATTTGAGCTCTTACAGGTCAGAACTATTGAGCTAAAGGGAATAAAAGCTGCTTCAGAGGTCAAGCCTCCAAACTCTTACAAGAACAAAAATAAAAAAGGAGTTGTGGAAGAAAACAGATTAGTCAGTCACAGTGTTTGTATTAAGGTGGTTGTACAAAGTTATTCCAAAGCCAAACTACAGCTCAGAAAACAGAACAAAAGAAGTTTATATAATTAATGGCATCTGGAAACCTTTAAATTTTTCCTTAAGGTTGGTAAGCCACAAATTCCACACAACTGCAGGACCATCCTCACAGTGGACACAGTTCCAGCAGCCCAAGGAGCAGGTGCCAGTCCTCATCCCAAGCACCTTCAGGAGGGTCCCAGGCAGGAATGTGGAGTTTTGAAAATCCACTCCCTTCCCTACATGTACCCAGTGCCCACCCTGTCACTGCCCAAGCATTGTACACACCTGCCCACAAATCCCAACCAGAACTGCTGGGAGTTGTAACAGAAATCATCACAATAAATACTGGGGCACTACATGCATTAATTAAAATAATTCCTGCTTTAAAAGCTTAGTTCAGCAGTCATATTTCAAACAAGAGTCTATGATATTATTACATTTGTGGCTGAAGGAGGTAAAGTGTTAAACTCTACAGCAAGGTATCAAATTTTCTTTCATTTCTACCTAGTCAATGTTCCACTTCCATCTGTTGCTCTGCCAACCCTCTCCAGCCAAATCCCCATTGGCCAAACAGTTCAGCTGCAATCAGCACAGCACACAAAAATTCATTTTATAAATTAAATATTGCCAACTTTTTGAGGGAGAAAAAATTAAAATTGCGTTCATAAAGAATTCATAAAGAAAAAAACCATCCCTGCAGCGCCATAATTTGTAATCCTCTAATTTTTCTTTTCCTGTAGCAAAGACCCTCTTAAATATTTATACCAGGCTTTTAAAATTCGGGGTTTACCTTACAGCTGCAACAAATCCTTACATTCAATTTAATGCAAAATATTTTAAAAAACCCAAAAGCATTACTCTGCACTTTATTACGATCAGATTTTTGTTTTGCCATGCCACAAATCCTCCTAAATCTCAATCCCGAGCATAATGTCTCCCAGATGTCTCAACTAGTTGCCATGCCAACTAAAGCAGCTTAAATTAAATGAGGGCCTGAAATGGCACCTGCACCACTCCAGGTCTGGGGCGCATTAAATAAAGCCCTTGACAGGGCTCCGAGGTGCCATTAACCCAGAGCAGCGACCTGATTATTGTCTGGGGATAATTTGATGAGGGCTCTGAGGAGCCGCCTGAGCAGCGCCCGGGATGTTCTGCTGGGACAGACGGGGCTGGGGCTTCACCCAGCCCCTGCTGCAGCACAAACCACCAGCCCTGGTGGGGCTTCACCCAGCCCCTGCTGCAGCACAAACCACCAGCCCTGGTGGGGCTTCACCCAGGCCCTGCTGCAGCACAAACCACCAGCCCCAGTGGGGCTCCAGCCCCTGCTCCCACAGGTACCTGTGCTCAGCCCACCCACCCAACACCAGCGCTGGGGTGGCCCCTGGAGCTGGGACACACGGGCGTCACTGCCAGGGAAAGATTGCTCCTGACAGCAGTAATTAGTTAAGTGGCTGCATAAAATTAGAACTACAAATGTACCGGTTTGCTTCAGAGTGATTATCAAAGCAAGTGCACGGCACAAAAGGACTTCACCTGCTCTGCTGGCTGGGACCTGCTGAGTTGGTAAATGTTATAAAGCCACAGAACCATTCTGGAAGGGATGAAGTGCCCTCGGTGATGGGATGCTCTCTGCATGGCTTAGACCCTTCTTTGTTCCACCTCTGCACACCTCAGAACTCAGTTCTCCAGCCTCACAAACTAACCCTGCTCAGCTGGTCTGTGCTGGAGCAGGGGAACCTCCCCAGGCTGAGCACACCCTGCTGGGCCCAGCAGTGCTGTCCCTGTCCCTGTCCCTGTCCCTGTCCCTGTCCCTGTCCCTGTCCCTGTCCCTGTCCCTGTCATTGCCTGGAGGAACCAAACCCTCCCTGTTCCTCTCTGCCCTCCTCCACCCTACAAATATGAGGGATTTACTCCCTAATCCATCAGAAAATAGTTCTTTCACCTCTTCACGAGATCAATGGGCAGGAATTGCTGCACATCTTTGCTTTTACTGGTATTAAAATCTTTCCCAGTCAGTCTAACAGACTGATAAAAGGGGTGTCTTTTCAGCTGCTTCTGATACTCACTTTATTGGGAAAAGTTTTCCAAAAGTTACTATAGAAATTTTGAATAACATCCATGGATCTGCAGTTGCTAAATTCAGTATTACAATCTGTGGAAGACTTTGTAATTGGAAAAAAGAGCTATAAATCACAGAATCATTTAGGGTGGGAAAGACCTTTAAGATCAGAGTCCAACCATAAACCTACTGCTGCCAAGCCAGATCAGTCAAGAACTAACAGTTATGTTCAGTGTAATGAAAGAATTTTTAGATGCTCAAGAAAAATCCAACAGTCACTATGCACCTTTTTACCTGATGTGTTTAAAGCTGGGTGAGCCCACCTGGGAAACAGGTGGATGACAGAACCAAAATACTGGCCAGGCTTGGATACCAGGGATTGCACTCCTGCTCCACCAAGGCAAACTGATGATTGCAGGGACAAGCCCTGAACTTCAGCTTAATGACAAACTTAAAAATGAAAATGAAAAACCCTAAAATTCACTAACAGTCACTTTTTCATGTATTTTCTCAAGACAGACACACAGAATAATATATGGTCCCTTATGTATTCATTTTTGCCCTAGGTGATATTGGCAAAAATATCAATACCCTGTAACATTCTAAATGCTCACAAATATCTTCAATCTAAAATCTCATTAAATATTTAAATTATATCTCAAACTAAGAGTTTGTAAAGAATTTTCACTCTAAAACAAAAATTTCACTAGATTAAACTTCCTTTATTCATCACCAGTTTCCTAAGAAATCTTTTACTTTATCATTAAAGTTTTAAGTTGGTTTTATAATTAGTTCTCTTGAAAAAACACACTTTGCAATTCCTGCTGGTACCTGTGAGACGCTGAATAATTTAAAGGAACTCTACCAGCTCATTTGCAACACATCATTCATATCATTTTAGTCATTCTTTTATTATATTTTTTGCCCCAGAAAGGACACTACAACTCCTTAGAAAGAACAAAGGAAATCCCGTAGTACCAACTCCAGCTCTTTACACTTTTATCACTGTTCAATATATCGTGCTGTAGAAATGGAATGTCCCCATGACACCTTCAGGAACTCTTCTGGTGGATCAACAAAGGAAGTTTTTACAGCTACACCCTCAAACATGGAACATTGTTACCTGATCTCCTTCAAACCACTCTGAAGTAAGTTCTCCTTATAGTACAGTAAGCAGGCAATTAAAATTGTGCTGTAAATCAAAACACCTATTGATTCATTCTTTTAAGGAATTCAGGGGTCATTAGTACACTTAGTGCAACTATTTCAGAAGAAAGGAGAAAGAAGACTGCACAAAGCAAATAGTCTTCTATTACCAACATCAGAGTTGAGAAATCAAACCTAACATAAAAAAAGGACAGCCTCATAAAATACTAGTCAGAATGACTTAAAATCAGTTAGCCATGAAGGAAACTAACATTTTGCTTTTATATTCGAAACCTGGCAGTAGCTAAGCTCACAAAAATAAGCTTATCCCAGTTAAATATTCTTGATTGTACAATTACACGGAAGGAGTAATCCTTAACCTAGATCTGATTTATAACTCATATGACTTGTTCTAAATGAGGGCATTGAACTAGTGCACATAACCAAACTCCAGTTTTTGAACACTACTTATGTGCTCTTCACGTGAAAGAAATATCAAAGAAAAATTTAAAAGCTTTATCTAAATTCATATGGAAAAGCCCCTGTACAGCACAGCAATACTTTCAACCAATTGATGTGTTTCTCCACCAGTAAATCATGCTGTGCTTTGGTTAAAATCATCAGGTTGATTATACCTACTTTCTTCACCAATCAATTCAAGGTATTATATAAATAGATCAAACCATATTTCACAAAGTTCAGGTTATCTAAAAATAATGACAATTTCCCACCCATTAATTTTAAAGTAGGTCATACAAAAAAGGAGGTAAGACCCACAAGTAATTAAAACCAACATGCCCAAGTCTAACCACAGGAGTAGGAGAGAACTTCTCTTCCCACCAGAGTCAGAGCCCACCCAGCTCAAGCACTTGCTTTTCAGTATTTTAGAAAGCAGAAATTCCCAACCCCACAAACAGAAAACAACCCAAAGTTTGAAAAAGGAAAAAAACCAAACCAAAACGTGACATTCCCGTGTCAAGCTTTTTACCCAAATTCAGTGTTGGAATAGAGTTCCCCACAGGCAGCAGGTCCATGTGCACAGGGACACGTCACACAGCACAAACAGCTCTGGGAGAGCTTTCCTTGGCAGGGCAGGGGCTGACCCAGGAGAGACACAGCCCTGCTGGTCCCTGAAACCTCTCTGAAAAGTCCTGGTTCCAAAGCCTGGGGAGGTGGGGCTCTCTGAAAACACCACAGAGTATTTTAAGGTACTAATAACTGAGAGGAGGTTAATTACTGGATATCGTTCTCAAAAAACATTTGGGGGGAATCCCCATTGGGAGCAGCAGGAGCTGCTGTAAATCCCACAGTCCCTGCACGGACTGGCTCCTCCAGAGTCAAAGCTTTGGGTTCAGCCCTGCACCATTTCACCTCCAAAATCAACTAACTCAGAGTTCTGCATCATACAGGTTCACCTCTTCACACAAGCCTGTTCAGATACAGGCTCAGGGGTGTTGTAGTTCCACTCCACAGGTTCCACCAACCCCTGGCAGTTTCTGAGCTGATGAAAATCACACGTACCTCAAAAAGATGCTCTATTTTTATATTTAGGATACATTTCTTCAAAATAGTCAATGTGTGGAGGCTGGAGGATGTCGAGGGCAGAGAGTACCTAGGAAACACCACACAAGGTCAAGGCCTATTCCAGTCAAACAAAATAAATCCCTTTCAAAAAGACAGTCAGACTGCACCTTCCTGACATGACTTGGCTTTATTCTGCCCCACAAACAGACCAACGTTCTGTCTCACCAGGTGTGAGAGAGCAATAAACTCCAACACAGGGCAGAGGGCGATGGAGTATAAAAAAGCTCAGCACTGTAAGTGTGCCCAGCTGGCACAGCTCTGGGCAGCCTGACTGTTATCTAAGGCCTGAAATAAGATTGGGTAGAATTGTATTCACTGTCCATTTGCAAACATTTTGGAAGGGCAATTATGAATATCCTTCAATTCTTTATAATTTCATTTTTATAGTAACAGTAACATCTGAGTTTCCAGAAAAGCTGATAACTGTAAAATTAGAGAGCTCTTAAAGCATTTTAGATACTCTGCAACTTAAAAGAAAACACATTTCAGTTACAGAGAGCTCCATTTTACATTCAGGTTTTATCAAAGATTTCAAAATCACTTTGAATTTACTTACATTGTCATGCTTAAAAAAACACAACATCTTCAACTCCCGGAAGACCCTTTTACAAGAGACCAAATTTTGGAAGACGTTGGGCATCTTTTTGAGTGCAACTCTCTTTCCATCCCGTGGATCTGTTACTGACCTACAGAATAAAAGATTTAGAACATCACATACTCCTGCTAGACAATTTTTCTAAATAAGAAAACAATATTTTAGAGTTCTTGTCATTCTCAACTCAGACGGGGAGTCAAAACAGGGTGAAGACAAGTCTAGAGCATTAAAAAAAAAGCATTAATCCAAGGGCATTAAGCACTGTCCCAGAGCCTGTGTGCCACCACTGGGATCCCTCCTTGGTCAGAGCCCACACCCCCCAGCCACCCCAGAGGCTCTCCAGTGGTCACACACCAGTGTCCATTGCTTTATTCTTCCTCTCCCACGAGGGAAAACCACGTAACAATCCCATTCTGACAGAACACTGGCAAGTGTAAGACTAGTTATCACCAAATCACCTCACATCTGGAGAAGCAACAGCACATGGTATCTAAGTTTTCACACATGTAAAACAGGTGTAATACTGGTCTTTCTCCCACAGAACTTATGGGATGCAAGTATAGTAGCTCAGAAATTATAAGGTGCTTTGCAATGGCAAGTATTTTAATTTAAAATAATTAGATTCTGAAAATAGAATTTTATAATAAGAACCATAAAACTAGAGCAAGGAGATTATGGTGCCTCAATTCCCAATCCCAGTTTTTAAGGTGAGCTTCTCAAACCTCACTACAGAACAAAGTACATGCATATTTTTACTGGGATGACCAAAATAACTTTAATCTCAGTGCAGTGCTGAACCCACAGAAGAATCTACACCCAGCTGTGTATCCCAATGACTACACTGTCCTCAAAAAGTTCCTGGCTTTTCTCTCTCTCATGCAATTCCTCTACAGTGGACACCCAAGGCGGCTTCTTCTGTCTCACATCTGCGTTGTCTTAAACATCTTAGTTAAAAATGAGACTGGAGTGTTCAACTAGTCCCCTTAGCTCCCAGTGCCACATCTGCTTCCAAAACACAAACCAGCTCAGTCCCAACACCTCGTCCAGACACCTGTTAACCTGTTAGATGTTAACATTCGTGTTTTAACCAAGGGGCAGAGGGGACTTGGGAAAGGTGGTGTCAGACTATTTGTATGGTGGGAAATGGCTAAAAGGAATCTGAAAAGGTCTTCTATTCCATGATATATTCCCTGTGTTCTCCAGGACCTTTGCCTCTGCTCACACAGCTCTGCACCCCCACAGGCCACACTGAAACATCCCTCCCACCACACAGGGACTGCACCCAGAGGGCACAGGGACCTCGGGAACACACCTGCAAACCCAGGTTATTGTTCAGCACCATTTAGCACACTCTGGGCTGGCCTGTGGCTTTAGGGTCCAGCAGAGGCAGAGTCTGAAGGACACACACACAGGGGCCAGGCCAGGCAGTGGCTCACAAATTCACATCAATGTGATCCCAGCAGGAGCTCAGAGCTCCCACAGCTCACAAGGTCAGGCACCACTGATCAGCTAATTAGTGGCATTTTCTCTTTAGGAGGCAGCATTTCTGGCCCCCACCAAGTTTTACCAGCTTTAAAGGGGAAAAAAAAGAGGCCAGCAAGACACCAAACCTCTAACCTGCTAAAGTCAAGGTAAAAGGTGCTGAGTCCTGGGAACTAAAAAAGATATCATTAAATAGATATATTTGCTCCAAAATCAAAGGTGTATAATTTCATTCATAAAGCTCCTCCCTGAAGACACTGCAGATGGCACTGATTTACTCTCTTTCCCATTGGAGCTCTCACACTGTTGCTGACCACACACACACACACACAGCTGCTGCCAGGAGGATATTCCTGGATGGGCAGAATTCCAGGAGAGGATCCCAGTGATCACACACTGAGGTATCACACAGGTGTGAGGCCCGAGGTCTTTGACAACATGACACTTCCTCACAAAGGACTGGTAATGCCCAGGCAGAACACCAGCATGTTCTATTTGACAGCACAGTCACAAGAGCTGAAGGACTATCTTGGCTACAAAAACATGACACTCAAACTCTTCAGCATTTATTTTATGCTGTACTATGGCATGTTTCGGGCACACTCTGCATTTCCAGGCAGGGTCTGAAACTTAATACACTATTTTACAAGACCAGAAGTACCCCTCTGCCACTGCCCAAACCGAGGGAAACGTTCCAATTCAGAATAGCAGTGGGGCAAGACTGCAAAAGTAATATATTCAAAGTTAAAAATCTGAATCCAATTCATAGAAAGTCATCTCTGGAGTTCCCATAAACCAATGAAAACCAGGAAGTTTGAAGTGGAGGTCATTTCAAAACAATACCTAAAATGGGATTTTTGGTGGACTCATTTTCTGCAGCCTTTCTGCTACAAAATGATGGTGGCTGCATAAAACACCAGAATCAACAGTCAGCTTTTACCAAAACCAGTTCAGATTGAAACTAAATCTTGGGACGTGGAAGTTGACCATCTACAGTCAAGTAAGTTCATATCTGCTATGCAGAGAGCCACGAGGCACTTCACAGTTGCCTTAATTAAAGTTCTCACATCAATGCTAAGTACACACTAACAGTAATACAATCTGCATAATTTTTTTTCCTATTGGTATTAGCCTGAACTTTGTCTAACCCCCTTCCTAATTCCTTTATCAAAAGTTTTACAAAGGAACACATTTTAAAATAAACATTATCTCGGAGAGCTTGTATGTATAGGAAAGTAATTGATGCATGCCTGAAAATTCTTCCAACCACTACCCCCAAAAATATGAATGGATATCCCTCTTCTTCTCCTCTCTGACTGAAGGCACAGAGTCAAAGATTTTGAGCTCAGATTCCCCAGTTTCTCAGATTTTCCTGATGCTGAGCCTCACTTAGGAAAACTGTCAGCTTTCTACCTCCAAGTACCAGACCTCTTTAGTTTAGTTTAGACATTTATCTGGGAATACTAAATTCTGTTCAGTCAGAACATAACCAGGGATCAGTGTCCTGTGGGCTCTCACGCTCCTCCCAGGACAGAGCTGTCCTGCTGCCTCATCAGGGACAGGGAAAGGTTTGATAAAACAGTTGGTCTGTAATCAAATAACACAAAAGTCTGATCTATGTTGAGAACTATCACAGATTTACTGATGCTCATTTTTTCTAGTTGTGGGACCCTTTTTGAGACTCAAAAATTGCTGAACATGTTGCAGAGCTGCTGAAGTTCCCCCCAGCTGTGCACATCAGGCCTGGTGTGGCTGTTCTCTGCTTTTCCAAATGCTTCCATCCAGTACCAATTCATTTTTCCTGGTGCCCTGGGGTAGTGTCCCATAGAGGAAGCAGTTAAACAGGGTTGCTGGGGCATTTGCATTTAAGGCCAATTTCTCTTTTTCTTTTAAATAACCCACTTCTACAGACAAGTGATGCTCACCTGCAGTGTCCAGCTGGGAAGAAATTCCTCTGCTCTTTCCCCCAGTAGCTGCAGCAATGTCACCCTGCCCCTCACCTCCCTGCCTTGGGAGCTTTGTACCATTCACCAGCAATTTCACTTCAAGGGGCAGCACAAAACTAACAGCCCAAGTTCTGAAGATCAGAACTGTCAGGCCTGAATTCCAAAGAACAGAAACAAGAAAGGAAGAAAGAAAATAGCCTGTTTGAAAACCTGGTATTTACAGCATCCAAAAAAAGATGCTGAAAATGTTGCTTTGTGTTTGTGTACAGTACTTACTTTGATACTAGCAAAATCATTATTTATAGCAATATGCTATCGGGTCACACATCCCCAAGAGAAACTAGAAAAGCAGGAAAATCTCCTAGGAGCTAATTGAGAGAACAGCTAGAAAGGCAGCTTTACTTACTGCTGCTCTCAGAAGAACACATTTCAATTCCCTCCTCTGCTCTGTGAGGACATTCCAGCCCGGGTGAATCCCGCAGCAAAGGGCCCAGCAGGCAGGAGTGATCCATCACTCAGCACAGCCTGGGCTTTCAAGATACTACTGAAGGCTCAAAGGGTTCGCTTATTAAGCACCAACTGTAGCTGGGGATAAGGAGATCAGAGACCAAGATTCGAACCAAAAATAACTTAGCAAAAATTATATAGAGATATGGGGCAAAAAATAAGTTAATAAATAGAATTTGGAAGGGGGGGGGATATGAAGGCAGACAGTTCAGCTGTCACCAAGCCTTTAGGAGTGACACAGAACAGCGACCCAGAGCTGGCAGATCCAGCACCAAACACCACGAGTGGAGTCACCCCAGAGCCCCCTCAGAGCCCCCCATCTCTCGAGGTGACAGAGCTGGGCCAGCACAGGGCTGGGGCAAAGGGCCACACGGAGAGTTCTGGGGAGCAGGTCACAAGCACAGCAGCAGAGCAGGCCCTGGGTCCTGCCAATGCAGCCCCTGAACTGCAGCTGGGTGCCCTGTGCAGAAGGGCCTCTCTTCTGCCATCAGAAACCTCTTGTTTTGCTGATTATACATAATATACATATACATGTCTTATTTAAGAACTACAGTAAAAGTTTATAAAATAGTCTGACATGGAACATACCAAGAAAAAAGATGCTTTACAAACCCTGCAGCTTCTACTTACATTGCAGGCTAATCGTGCCAGAAATAATACAATTTTAAAAACTAATAGGACTATAGAAGGGATTAATGACACAATCCAGACCTCTAGTTAAATGTTTTCAAAGACAATCCTTATCTCAAAGAATCCTTGCGGGCATTCATGCGTTTCAATTATGCATTATAAGCCTTTAGCAACTCTCTGCCCTGCTGATGGCAAATTTTCAAGGTGGAGACTTTGCCAACAGTGACTTTTTCTCTCCCTGAATCCAGGTCAAGGCATACACATTGTTCTGTAGTTTCAACTGGTAGAAAAACAAGTTTGTGACTGCTCCGTGCAATTATTACACAGGAGTGAGATAATGAAAGAATGTTCTCAGGGGCGGTGTGGGAAACTGCTGGGAGTTTGTTCTACAGGGGAAGCCAGCCTGCCTTCACATATAGAACACCTATAAACTTACATCAGGACTTACCAGAAGGAGGGGGATTTAACAGGATTACTCTGCAAGTTTTTCTTATTAGTCAGTGAACTTTTTTCCTCAGTTGCTTGA